ACACGTTGTCATTAACGTGGCTTCACTCCACATCAGCCGCTTTGCTAAAACACCGGTGTCGGCACATAATGACGCTGTCATAGCCTGACAACCACGTATGCAAATGTGAATCTGATCATTGGCTAGACTGTGGGATAAGGTGGCCTCGTTCTAATCCCATACAGGAGCAGACAGTCACTGACTCACACTGCAAAACAGAATTGTTAAAGTTTTAATTTTAATTTCAATTCAGGTGATTTTTTTTTTTTTTTTTTTTTGTGCACAACGCAGATTTTCTGTGCGCAGAGACATGCCAGCAGTGCGCAATTGTGCCAGCAGTGTGCAATTGTGCACGCGCGCAGCTTAGAGGGAACATTGCTTGCGAGTCTCGGGTCTTTTGTGTTTGTAGAAAATGTTTCATATCTTTGAGTTCAGCTCATGGAAAACAGGAGCAAAAACAAAAGTGTTGCGTTTATATTTTTGTTCAGTGTAAATGATAAAACATCAGGTTTGACCCAGAATAGAGTTTGATCCACATGGTGGTGCTGTGAAAAGTGCGCGCTGTACTGGTGTCACCAGTGTTCCCAGCCCACAGACCAGTGCTGCCACTAATCGAGTTTCATTAGCAGCATCTAAATGCTGTTTAAAGGTGGACTTCATCTGTCACACAGGAGCGGTTTGGCTTCGCTTTGCTTAAATAATGACCTGGTGTATTTCTGTATACACACCTGCTAAGGATCAGGTGACTCTTATAATAAAAGGTTAATACGTAAAACCTTAAAGATAAAAAGGGCTGTTTTTAGTAGTATTTAGGCTGCAGTCTGTGTATTATGTCCATGATATTCTACATTACAGTAAAAACAGTAATTATATAAAGAACAGATGGATCAGGATCCTGTCTGTTCTTTACTATGATCTCAGCTGATAATGAGGCTTGAAAGAGACATGTTTGAACTTTTGCATTGATCAGACAAATAAGCCTGCATGTTTGCATGAGCTTTACCTTTAACTGTAAAACATGAAGCCTTTATTATTAAAAAAACAAAACCCTTTTGGTGTCATACAGGTAAGAAAGCAGCGAAGCATTTTTCTCTCTAACAGACGTTTCATCTGTTTTCTCTGCCGTTGCTCTGATGGGACCTGCAGGGTGTTTTTGGTGACGTGGAGGTTTGCACAGTTGCTGCCTGTGGTGTGTGTAGAAATGTTCATGTTCTAGTCCCACTGTGAAGCACATAGACGTGTCCTGACTTCCTGTCTGTCCCACACTCTGTTGTCTCTGTTTGTTGCTGCCAACAGTCCAAGTCATCTTTGCAGATTTTACTGAATTAACAAAAACATGTTTACTGAAAGACTTATTCAGTAAACATGTTTGTTACACTGAGACTGAAAAAGCGATCCCTGTTTACGCTCATAGAAAACGAGCCTCTGTTTTACTTTATTAAATCATTTGTAATCACAGACAGGATCAGCAGCGTGCAGCTGCAGTGAGGTGTTAGTAGAGGCGCTGTGTTTATGAGCTGTAGTCTGGATCAGGTCTCTGTGGGAGACTCGGTTACAGTACTTCTGAATATCCACGTGTCGACCTCACACAGCACATTTTTTCAGAATCGGTTGCTGTTTGCTAACATTTGACCTTTGCCCTTTTAGGCTGCCCTTCTGGCGCCCGTCGATGAGGACTTGGGATCTGACAAGAAGCAAACTGGGGGAAGCAGCAGAGTACCAGACTTCCCTCCTCCAGCAGGCCGGGAGATCTTGTTGCGCACCTGTGTGCCGCGACCAGCAGCGTACTCCAAGGCGCTGCCTCAGCGGCTCTTCTGTGTCCTGATGAGGGAGGAGTTTAGGTTGACCGGAGGCTTTTCCACAGACACGTCCTTCTTTTAAGTCCTGTGAACAATTCACACCTGGGATAAAGATAAGTGAAGGACACAGGATGGAGACTTTCACATGTATGAACGTGGCCATGGAGTAAGATCATAGAAATACATTTCTTCATTTGTTTGCTTTATTTGTAAGAACGGTGCAATATTTCAGCATCTACGGCTCGCCCAAGCTTAAAAGCAGGAAGTAGTATATTACTGGCATTGATTAAGAAGCATTTATGGCTTTGTCTGGAAATATGTGAAACTACATCCTTCTGTGTATTCATAAAGCTGCAGCTTCCCGCGGAACAGTTCCCTAAAACCTTCATTTTACCTTCAAAGTTTCTCTTGATGCCTTTTTAAGGAAATGAAATTTGTCGTTAGGATGGAGTTCCCCATCCTGCACTCACCACACGCTAACACAACCTTCTCAACTCTGATATTTAGTAGATTATATTTCAGTTGCAGGGATTGGTCCTGATGGTAAACATGAGAGTCGGTGAGGACTTCATGGGTCGTTTCAGCTGAGCTCCATCCTCCAGCATGTCCTGCTGCTGCTGCTGGATTAACACACAGCTGTTTGTTTGCATCCAACCAGAACCAGACCGTGCAGTTCTTATTCCTGTTCATAGCCATGTTTATACACCTCTGCAGCCCCTCCTCCTTCAGCCGGGACATTTGTTCTAGCCTTCATTCATAAACTCGGCTTTCTAACATGCAGCTAAAGTTCAGTCTGCATGCTCGACCCAGACTCCTGGCAGCTGAAGTGAAATACCTGGTCATGGGGTAAATGCTGTGGCCGGGTTCAACTCTGACCTGAGGCCCTTTATTTCTCCCTCCCTGCTTTGCTGTCTGGTCTTCATTGTGCTATTAAATACAGACAAAAATGTTTGTTCTCCTCCTTCCATCACCACCTTTGTTGCATGTAGAAAAGTGTCATATAGAACCAGTCGTTACTTTAATGGTCTGAACTAAACGGTTGGGTGGCACCATGTCAACAGCGACTAAGAATTTTCTGGGCCAACAGGATATGTGTTTCAGTCCCTGATAAACTGACCCATCCTCTAAAAAACAAAACCCAAAAACTATATTTACAAGATAAATGATCAGAAATAGTAACGACAACAAAAGCACAGGAATCATAGATCCAACGGGACAGGCTTGTTACAATGAAGGAAAACACTGAGCGACTGTTGAGGCCTTTATTAGTCCTACAAAACATAACAGAAATATTACAATAAAACACAGAGGCCTTTATTGTCACGTCCATCGTACTGTGACTCCTCAGCACATTCATCTCCAATCAGCAGCTTCCTTCACTGACCCAATCACAGGTCTCAGGCCAGCTGTTGTACTCAGGTTTGGATTATTTGCTGAGGTTTTAGATCTCTGGACCAAAGCCTTTAAAAGGAAACAGTTTCTCAGAGGTTACATCAGTAAATATGATCTCACTGTTACAGTGATCATTCACATCTCTGATTAACCTCTGAAGAGACACATTTGGTCCTTAGCGACGCCTCTGTCACAGGCGTCTGTCAGAACAACAGCGTGTGTTTGATACAGTCCATCATGAAGAGAAGCAGTTTTTCTTCTGAATTAGTGAAATAACTGGTCTGTAAATTACAGTAACACGAGTGTCATTGTTAAAACACAGTTTATGAAACACTTAATTTGTTGTTAACTTACTGACAACGTAAACATTTGCTGGTTGCCACAGTAACTGATGACTGTGTGGTCACATGACTGAAAAGTAAACAAATGTCACAAAATAAAGAAATGCCTCCAACTGGTGTTACGAGTAGTTAGTGTGCAGAAACACGGCTGCAAGGTCAGCCCTCCACAGTCGCTCATCAGGCTGGTCGCAGCGCGTTTGTCTGTCTACTGATGTCTGCATGAGCAGAAACACCAATTTAAGTGATGTTATGTAATTCAGGATTCAATGTGTCAGTGTTTGTTACTTTGTTACATTCATTTTTTTAACCACGTTATTTTGTTGTGGGATGAACTTCTGCAAACAACAACATATGGCAACAAAAAACAAAACTTGCAGTTGGAATCGATGGAGCTGTGAGATGTTGATTGGTTCACTAACCATTACCATTTGGGATATTAGGATAACAGTAGCATGTAAACATAAGCAGTGCAAAGACTTCCTATAACGGCACATTTACAGTCTAGTTTGGGGAAGGGTGAAGAGACGGTGGATGTTTAACCCTCCCTTGGTTTGACAGCTCGCTCAGCCAGCGAGTTATGAATGATGTTCTTGATAGACTCCGCCCCTGCGCCTTCTAGGAAAGTGCGGTGATCTCCCTCGATGACGTGGACTGACACCTCGCCATCACAGACCTGAAGAAAGACGCAGTACACAGTTTGAACATTGGAAGGCTCAGACTGAGAGTTTATAGAAAAACACACACGCACAGTGAAGATAAGTACTACAGACTGATGTAAATGTGCATCGTTACCTCGCTGAGCTTATAGTCAGCTCCCAGGTTTTGCTCATATTCGCTGCTGGTTTCGGCGCGCAGCAGCTTCACGCTGCCGTGGTATTTTGCAGTAGGTACATATGCATCAGCAGCCTTTAGCTTGTAGTAGAAGGCGGAGGCTGCAAAGTGCAGTGAGTCTCGGTCGATGTCCTTGTGAGCGGAGGTGATTAGGTCCACGGCCACACTGACGCGTGCATTCAGGTCTGACAGCGGGAGCAGAGTCTCCAAAAGCTGTAGGACGTAACCATGGAGACGACTAAGTTCATAGGAAACGTTACCGCGTGCTCGCGGAGATATTATTGTTTTCAGAAAAGTAAGTGACACAGAATTAATGAACATCACAGATCTTATGTATATGAAAATGCAAAATGAAGATGTTTTGATATTCAGGAGTTACAAATGTCAGCTTTCAGTGAGAAACTGTACGAAGCTTTGATTTAACCGCATGTTTTACTTTAGTCTCCATAACAGCTCCAAACAACATCATTGTTGAGTCAAACCTGCACCACTCACAGACTGTGTTACAGTCACCATCTTTACCTTACAGGCGCCGTGAGGCAAAAGCTCAGGTTGTGTGGCCTTTAACGCTGATGCCACATAAAGGAATACTTGTGTGTGAACGTGTGGGTCAGACACAGTATACCTTGTTGTATTCAATGCCAGTGAACTGCTGGATGAAGGCACACAAGGCTTCAGTCTCAGCCTCAGACTCGTTGCCGGGTGTTAGCTTGGCTCTGTAGCTCTGCAAATGAAAAACACAGATAAACGTGCTCACATGCAGATCATGTGACCAGAGCTCATCACACACGCTATACAGCAGATTAGTTAGAATAATAAACAGCCTTTATCAGTGTTAGAGTGACGTGCAGTAAATTCCCCACATATACTGAAAGCTTAACAAATCATATTGTGACAATCACAACCTGCTGTTCCCTGGACCTGTGAATTCGTCCATCACAGGTCGACACGTTCAGGTCAAATCCCCGAGCGCGACACGTGACGCTTCCTTCATTTAATGCATCTGCGGCTCACTGCCAATCATCCCTAATATGTTTTGATTACATGAAATAAAGATGCGCGAGTGTTTCTCTGACCTGTGTGTACGCCGCCACATATGAATGTGAGCCATCAAAGAGAAACAGGAACTCCACAGGCTGATTCTGGGTCTGCAGCTGAGAGCACATTTCAAATGCTACACAGGCACCAAAAGAATATCCAGCGACTCTGTACGGGCCGTCCGGCTGCACCTGCCTGATGCAGCTCACGTAGTAGGCAGCCAGGGAC